GATCCCTTCCCAGACGCCTTAACGCCCACTCACATCCTGAGCCATCTGATCTCAGGAATTCGCATGATAAGGTGGGGCCAGGTTTCACAATGAACTCACCCGAAACTCTGGCTGATCGGGACCCACACCCAGTTTCACACCTTGGCTCAGGCGACTAGAGGATCATCAGGGGTCCTTTTGTCCCTCTGTGGAGGGTTACTCCCACTAGGTTTATATCTGGGACTCTCCACCATTTGACCTTAGAACTGAAGAAGCTTCTCGGATGAGAGGTGAAACATCTTCAAGCAACTTAACCCTTTAAGACCTACCATAGAACCAAGTCCGCCAGAGCTTATATTATATTTTTACATGTTGTAGAGCCATTTTTGGGAGCATTTCAAGGTGCTATCCATCAATACAACCATTATAGCCTAAATTTTAATAATATGTATGCATTAAGTGCATAGTAATTACATAAATTGCAAAAAAGTGCAATAAACTACAAAAAATTGAAAATAGTTTTTGTTTTTTTTAACATATATTTCTAGTTAGAGAAATTTAAGGGCTTATCCCTCAAAACTGTAAATACAAAAAAGTTGCACAAAATAGTTTCCCACCACAGGAAATTTATTTTGAGTGTCTTCATTCTTTTATTTTTCAAAATACACCAATTTTTATATACTGCAGGAAAAATGAAAATAAATACTATAGTGCAAATTTGCAAAAAGCAGCATATGCATCAAAATAAACCATTTCCAGCAGTGCAATTTTAGTTCCCAGAAACGACACAGAAAGTCATAAGGTCAAAGATAACTTTTAAAAACACCAGTATAGGCTCATAAGGCTCTGATGGTAAAACTACATTTCCACGAAAATGACGTCACTTCCGGTTTCGGGCAGGTCATGGCGGACATGCGATAGTTCGCACTGACATTTATTCTAACGTAGGAAGTGTTACGAACAGCTGATCGGATCGGCAAAGCCTGTTTCTGGAATATTATGTTTTTGTTCCTGCAAGCGCTTTTTATGCAGTTTTTGCAAAGCTATATGTGGAAGGAAACTGTGCCCTAGGACAAGCTGATGGCATAAGATGTAAGTACAACTCCTCCGGTTTCATATGCAAAAGAAATTATTGCGCTAGCTTACGTGGTTGCAGTTCTACAAGTAGTTGCGCAAAACGGAGCATGCCCGCTCTGACCGGTTTTAAAGGGTTAAAGAAGTCCAGACGCTTTTCTTTCCAAGCTCCTTTGACTACGATGACCTGGATGACTGAGAACCTTCACAGATTTATTTTCGTTATTCTGACTTTTTTGTACTGGGTACTAGCTAGCATGACGGAGTTTATATACAGGTGGATGCTATGATGTTACTGATGTTGAACTTTATTTTATTCTTAAGGTTAGTTAGTAGAGTTGCCAACCGTTCCGTAAAAAGACGGAATCTTCTCGTATTCAGAGAAAATATTACGTGTTTTGTGTTGAGCTGAAAAGGAACAGTTTGTCCCGGACCTCAGCTAGAATGAAAAAAAGACACAAAGGTAGATTTATTCTGTTGTTACGCTGCACAGCTGCCTCTTCTTCTTGTTTAATTTTCTCCCCCTCTCTCCTGTTGCTACTTTAATCATGAAACTGATCAGTGATCAGCTGATTGGCTTTTCTCTCTTGTTTGTTTATCGCCCACTTTGTGCCATCAGCAGCACATTGAAGCTTGATCAGCTGTTGCTAGAATTTATTTAATATTAATTTCTAGTATCAGTTGATGTTTGCTGGAGCCACAGCTGTAAAGCTGCTGGTCATGATATGGTTTGGTTATCTGGTGAGAAGGAAACATGAAGATGAAACCAGGAGATGTCCTTACTGAATCATCAGAGCTGAACAGGTGATGGAGAAACAGGTTTACCTTTTAGGTGACA